GAAACATTATTCTTCAAATGTGGTGGAAATTGTAACTTCTGTAACTATTTTCTCTTATTTTAGAATTAATCTTTTTTTCAGTTCATCAGTTTCAGGCATCTAGGTTCGACAGAGATCTGATAAGACAGTTTAGAATTTAAAGAGAAGTAATTATTGCATTTCTCATTATCCCCCAAAAGGGATCCTCTTCATAACCAGCAAGACAAAACCCCTCTATTCCTGTCATATATTTTGCTTCTCTTTATATTTTAATTGTCAGCCATAATAACACTGATTTTTTGGACAGATGTTACTGTACATGTATTTATGAATGGTAATTTACAAATAAGCAATTTTCATTTTTGAACACCTGATTGTCTAAGGAGCAGACTCGCATTTAATGTGGAATAAGATGAGAATGAACAGCGATAGCAGACTTCACGATGCAGGTGGAAATATAGCATTTTGACCATGCCACTCTGCTTTTAGTTGTAGAATGAGTTTATATATAACATTTTAAAGCTTTTTTTATTGCTCACCGAACACAAATGAGGCAGTCCAAACACCTTCAGGGCACAGAAATAGTACAGAATTGTGAGACTGCTGGGAGAGCGTTATTATCAGTTATCAGCTGAGAACTGTGAAATATGGCTGAAAGTTTACACTAGGGATTCAAGTATGATGAACATCCACACACAGGCAGACACTGCCACATTATAATGCATTAACCCTTACCTGTATGTTAGTTTCTTTCAGGGCTGTGGAATTTGAAGAACATTCTTTTTCCTGTATCCTATAGTCAAATGATTCATTAGTTGCGAAACATTTGTTAGAAACTTTTTTAATATGCACAGCACTTCATCCCATCTCCATCAGTTAAAGTCCCTTCAGGTTTCCAACCAAAAAATCCCTCAGATAAATTGTGACAGTCGTGATAGAAAGCGCCATGCAATAAGTATATGACTACATCAGCACCAAGCCTCTAACATCCAGCCACACAGACACAGAACTTTTGACAGCTGGGCCTGAGCAGTGAAACGTTCTGTGTTAATAATATCATGATAGTCTAGGATTTCATGATGCCAGAGGAGGAAAGGCAGAAGCTCCCAGTGTGCTTCTGCCTTTGTCTAAGCTGTGGTGAGACAAGCTGGCCAGCTCCACTTCTGCTGCTGGAAGAGGTCGAGTGTACAGTAGACTCATCATCTAGCAAACATACTAGATAAGTGGAAGGAATAATCTTGTTAGGACTAGCAGTGAAACGGTTTCAAAAGTTAACCACATCTGGACACAATAACAAATATATATGAAAAGAATGCTCACAACACCCCTGTCCCGAGAAAATCAATATTCATTTTTAATAGGAGGAGGTGATAAAAATGAATGAAGTTTCATAATATGCTTTTACAATTTATATATCATAATTTCTTTTTTGCTTGTAATACTAAGGAAAATTTTATTTTTTCCTAATTGAACCCAGTGACTTTTTATTTGAGAACTTCATTCAAATCCCAAAAATAAAAGAAATATATATCAGAAATAAGAAGAGTGACAAATGTGAGGAGGCCTTACAACTCATTAACAGTGTTTTGTTTAATAGCAGTTAATTGGTTCTCATCCTGCTGTTTCTTTTAGGAATTTAGGGTATTAGCTTCAGAAACATGGCTGGTAGCTTGTTCTGTACTCCTACAGAGCCTCCTGTTCTTGGTTTTAAATACACTTGTACTGTATATAGTTTCCACTTGTGTCATCTGGTTTGTATTTCACTGTACATTATGAAGAAGTCCTCTGGGTTGACAATGTCGAAGCTTTGAGGATTTTGAATGCAGTATTTGTATAAGGTCCCATCCTAACCTTCTCTATTCAAAACTAAAAAGGTTGAGTTACTTCAGTATATAGGGTATTCCCTTTATCCCAAGAATGAGCCTGGTTGCTGGTCTGAATCCAGAGGAGCAATATTGTTTTTTCTATAACATGGTGACTGAAATGAAACGGTATAGGAAAAGAGTAAAAAATATCAGAAAGGAAATTATTCTGATCATATTTAATTGAATATAGCAAATCAATTTCCTGTTATTTTTAGCTGATCATTTTATGAACATGATGTTCGCAAGATCAATTCTTCATGCTTAACGCACGTGTTAAAGATTTCTGCATATTTAATTTTCAATTGTAACAGTACAAATATACTACCTATACAGTATATATAAAATGTATACATTTAAATAATGTAATCATGCACAGGAAATAAAACAATCCAGAAAAAAAAAAGATTTAATATTTGTACAAGTCTGTCTGTCTGTTTCTGGTATTTTAATGAACATGGTTATGTCATATTTTTTAGCAGAATAATGACTCAGCTCCATCTTTGCCTTATCATTACAATCACCTTTTTGAATGTGTGCAGACATCTTAGGTCCCGCTGAGCTTCATGATTTTTCAGAATGGGGTCAAACATGATGAATTGAATGGTTTCATCTCTTCTGTTGAGGTTTTAAAAATGTATGGTCAAACTATTACATGAAAATTCAGTCTGATGATAGTTGTTCTGTCTGGATGAATCTTGAGCAAGTGAGTCCTATGTATTTAAAGGAATCGACAAAACGTAACTCAACTTAATGCACATTAAGAGTAGAGCTTAATCACTGCAGTATTTGTAGTTGATAAAGATGTAAAATTATTTTCTTACTAACAGACTATTTTTCCATCATACATGGTTTAACGTCAAATCATCGCTAATTTTGTCATAGTACCAAACAGCAAGAAACTCTATCCATGTGTGATGGCCTGAAATGGTTATGAAATTTTCAAAGTGAGGCAATTCGGTCATTCCTACTGTTTAAGTTGTATGCATTATCTGTTAATATAATTTAACTTAAAGGCTTTTTGTGAGAGCATAATTTGAGTGCTTTGTTTTCATTTTCATTTGCTGAAGTCTAGATTAAGAGCAAATGCAGACTCTTAATCTTTAGCTTCAAGGTTCTGATATTTTTGGCAACATCAAATAACCCTTTTAGGTGACAGAACAAATCATCTCTGTGTGTAGATGATGAGAATGATGATTTATTCCTTCAAAACTGTAGCAGTGCAGTCATGAGCATTAATGGTAAATGAAGACATGACTTATAATACATTTCCTGTCTCTTCTGCTTAAAATGACTTCTTGTGATAGTCTTGTTGCAATCTTAGAGGATCCATCTGTAGAAAACAGTGTTATATTGTAAAATATTTCAGTAGAATTTAAGAACATTAAATAGGTCCATAAATAACAAAGAACATATGCAATTTCTAAATTCTAGACAAGAAACGTCAAAATGTATTTTATTGTATTTATTGTATGCTTGTTTATATAATAATACTATATAAGCAGAATCAATTTGCAGTAAACATTGGGGTCTGCTCTGGTTATTTATTTATTTGTTCTCTAAGGTGACGAATCAGGTATTTATATTTACTGTTGTAAAGGTTTTTTTGCCCTCTTCTTCTGGACATTATACAAAGCTATATTTAACCTCGCTTCAGGATACTTTTAGAGGTAACTTTTAACTGTTTAGTGTCCAGCAATTTGATCTACTTTTTAAAAGAACTGATTTTTTAAAATTCTAAAATGTAATACATTTGTGTTCCTTTAGAAAACGGCAAATACAGTTAAGATCAAAATGAGGTGGAGTTTTTAAACAACCAACTTTTAAAAGAATTATAACTAATATTACATTTTTAGAAATAATTGATTCATACAGTACAAAATGAATTGCATGGATTCAAGTATTTTTTCTTTTTTTTTCTTTACTTATTTTACTTATGTGGCCTTGGTTTCAGTTAAAATGTCCCAACTACTGTTTCTGTAACCTTTTAAAATATATAATTTGTAATTTATGTAATCATAAAAATATGAACCCTATTAAAAACACTTAGGCACTTCCTCAACTCCTAATCTGAAGCAGTGATGCATCTGTGTTTTGAATATCGGGCCTGTTATTTGTCATATGTTTAGTATTTCTGTCTTCTCTTTTTTTTTTTAAATATAGGATTTGATCAGAGATCAAGATTTAGATTTACATGGTATTTTGTAAAAAAAAAAAGAAAAATATATTTATTTAAATATATTTAATATATATACATGTATAAATTAAAAAATAAAGGATTAACAATATATTTCTACAATGCCAGTAAATATACAATACAGTGATGATAAAATGTTTGTGAACCCCAGTATAATTATGAAAGTTACAATCCCATACTATGGTACCCTTGTTTAATCAAAACTATCCATCCATCCATTGTCTAACAGCTTCATCTGATTCATGGCCACAGTGGAGCCAGACCCTATCTATCTTGGCAGTGAACAGCCTCAAGGAGGGGTACATTCTGGACAGGATACCAGTCCATCACAGGGCACACAAACACACACTCAGACTAGGGCCATGTTTTCCCAGACGACAATAAACCTACCAGTATGTCTTTGGACTGTTAGGTGGAAACTGCAGTAAACTGGTGCCTTGTGCAGAGTGTATCCCACCCTGGATAAGATCCAGGGCACCATGACCCCCAATTGGATAAGCAGTTATTAAACGTGATGTGACTTGATAACCTGATTGAAGGTATAACACAAACACATAAGGCATATCTGGAAAACATAATTAACAAAATTATCCATAAGTAAATATTCATGTGTGAATACGTTTGTGAACCTTTAGATTTAGTAATCTGGAGGAATCTCCTTGAGCAAGTATCAAAGATCATGAAGAGGTTTTAGAATCTCATCAGATCTCTGGCCCCAGAGAGATCATGGTGATAAAAGATATATTAAAAACATATCAGTCTGGCCTTAACCTTTTCTCAGTTAACTGGTAGCTGAACACACTAGGATGCAGTGCATGTCATGCGTGTTTAAACTCTGAGAAAATGCATATGATTCACTAGGTTTAACATTGGCATTTTAAACAACACTTCTTGACATTTAGCAGAGAAATTTATATAGAAGCTGAACACAATTAAACAGATGTCATTGTGTTATTTTTCAGAAACAATGGGGAAACAGAACAGCAAACTGGCCCCTGAAGTTATGGAGGATCTGGTGAAGAGCACAGAGTTTAATGAACATGAACTTAAACAGTGGTACAAAGGATTTCTGAAGGACTGTCCCAGTGGCAGGCTCAACCTGGATGAGTTCCAGCAGTTGTATGTCAAGGTATGTCTGCAGCTGTGTTTAGCTTGATATTTAATGGCACCAAAGATGTGATGATTTCACTATGTCTTTGACTCTGTTCAGGTTTAAAAAAATATTAAATTTTGAGTTAATTGCATCTATTTTATGTCCAATTAAGAATTATTCCCTGCAACCTACAACCTGTATTTTAGATAAATGCATCCAGCCAAGCTTAGAAAATAATGTGCAAACTCCTTTCATTAGATGGACCAGACCTAGACATACTGTAATTTGAATTTAGAAACCTTGTACTTTGTGACATTTTTTAATAGAATGATAATAATAAAAGGAACCAATCAATTATCAATCTGATTAAAAATACTACTACAAATATATGCATTTAACTTTTAGGTTATTTAAAAAATAACTAAAAATGAGTCTGAGCCTGTACATAGTAAATAGAAAGTGTGGTAAAAAGTTACAGAAAGCTTTCAAAGCTTGTACATTCTGATCGGCTTAATGTGCATTACCACTGAAACAGCCAGCTGGGCTCTCCACATATAAAAAACTTATTTTTCATAGCATCAAAATTAGAAATTACTTCACTAACATCAATTGCAACATTTCTCAAAGATAATTTGCAGATTGCCATGCTTTTGTATTCACATCTTTTCATTACTCCATATCTTGAAGTACCTAGCATTGGGGTAAATTATAGATCTTGAGCTTGAAGATGAACTTGGAGTTTGTGTGAGAGCAACTCTATAAATATGTTTTTTTCATTGACTTTACTTCATGCATTACACATTAGGTCTGGGAAAGATACATACATGTATCCTTATAAATGCATTCATATCCCACACTCAACCAATCCAAGAGCTCTTCAAGGCATATTCATGATGCATGTCAGCTTAAAACAAATCTGTATACTCCTAAAAAACTTGTCTTGGTCTATATAAAGATTATTGTGCAGTTTCATTATCCTCTGCCCAGTGTTTGCTATTGGTGAAGCACAGCCTGCATCAATGATGACTTTAATGCAATGTAAAAAGTGCTAGATTGCTTGCTAGGCATAAAGGAATAGTTGCTTTTGCTACGTCCGGTTGTTAAATGTCTGGCTATAACACAATGGCAAATTCCAGAAATCTTACCATTTAGCTACTATGATTCACAAATGTATGCAGTTTTCTATGTTAATTGGAGATTTTTTTTCTGAAATCAGACAGAAATTTCATGTTATCTCTCCAAAGGAGTAGCCAGGCAAGGAGGAAACTGGTTAGGGATCACACCATGAACCTCGTATTGACTTTGAAAGAGTTAAAAGGTTCATTGGCTGAGGTGGCAGAAAATGTGCAAGAGTCAACAATATCCCATTTGATCCATTAGGGGAGCTTGTATGGAACTGAAATAAAATCTCAAATCCTCCATTGGGTTTTCATCCAGGCATCCAAATGATACTGCAAACATGCGACAAAAGGGTTTGTAGTCTTTCAAGACAAAACTGGAAGTTTATGCAAAATGCACATTTAAATGCAAAGTGTTACACCTGATGCGCACCCCAATGTAATGCATCATTCAGTGAACACCACACCTACTGCAAAGCATGGTGATGGCGGCTTTATGTTAGAGTTCTGCTTCTCATCAGCAGGACCTGGGAAGCTTGTCAAGACTAATTAGAATGTAGATGGAGCAAAGGACTGGAAAATCGTAGGTGAAAACCTGCTTCATATCTTAAATTGGACAGAAATCCTAATGCAATCTGCATATTTCAGTTTTTCCTATCATTAACTGTAACTAATATAACCTTTTGAAGTCTTCAGTTTAAGGTTGTCAGGTTTTGAATAAAATATTCAATTTAAATTTTATAATTTCATAAACCTGGACACTATGAGAAAGGTCTGAATACTTGTGTAAGGCACTGTACAGTATACAGTATGTATAATAGAAGTATATAATATAAGAATTGTGTGATACCACAATTATATCACTGTGGTATGATAAAATGGCTGAAATATAAGCATCCTTACAAATCTGTACCTACAGGTAAGTGAAGAGCTGGTATAATCTGATTTTCAAGATAAAATATAACCACAGCAGTTGTATCATTGTGATTTATTATAACTAAGAGTTTGATCAATATTCAGTCATCTTGAAAATGACTTTTGTAACATCCATCCACCCATTATCAGCTCACATGTAATAAACATAGTGTGAATCATTACATTATTCGATGCCAAGCTTTTTGAAGATGGTTGGATATTTTCTGTAAATTGCAAAACCATGATTGGTTCTGTTGGAAGAACAGTTGTCTTGGTAAGGTACTATAATATGCTGACAGAGGTATGCTACAATTCTAGCAGTTGTGCCAGAGTAGATGTTATTGTAGCTTGTCATAACAGCAAGGAGAATTAATCCTCCCTTCACTGAATACTGTCCTTTTCACTGAGTAACAAGATCTCTTGAGATTTGGGCATCCTTCTTCAAAAGGATAACCACCTACTTTGACTTAATTTTTTTTTAATGGATTGAGACACGTGAGGGGGAATATGTGAAAATCATCAAGTGGCTGCAAAAGCATTAGTGATTAATAGTCACTAATAAGCAAATATTTTTTTCCAAAATAAACAAGTCATACATTGAATATTAAAAAAGAAAGCAGGTTAATTTCTGTAACTCTACAAACTTTAAAAGTGCAAATGTTTTTTTCCCTTGAAAATGATTTACATATTGTTATTATTTCGTTAGATTAATCACCAATGCCATGTGTTGAATGTAGTGTGATTTGTTTAATTAGAAGCAAGTGTTTCACAAGAGTATATTATATGGTAAAAACAACATCAGAATATCCAATAACTACTTTATATGTGAAATAAACGTTCTAGCTTTTAAGTTGCTTTTTAGGTAAGTCCTGATGCTGCTCACATTCAGTTCACTACATATAAAGTGTTACATTGTAGAACAACATACAAACCATTCATTTGCCCCATTAATTAAAAAACATATACTTGTGCAACCTCCAAGATTTAATGGTGGTCTGGTTTGACAAAATCTTCAGCTCTATTTTAGGCATCCATACTTTGTGTTAGAAGTACACCTGATTATGGGGTGAGCCGCCATCCTGCTGAGGGTAGGAACGAATCTTAGAAAGGAGAGTTTCTCCAGGTTAATGGTTAGATGATCTTGTTGCAGGACAGCACGAAGGTGCAGTGGTTAGCATTGCTGCCTCGCAGCGCTGGACATGGATAGATGGATGGATCTTGTTGCATATTGTTAGTGGCAATAAAAAACAAAAACAAATGAAAAAGATGAGAATTGAATTGCTATACTATAAGTCCAAACATAGGCAGCACATTTGAGAACACATTTAGACTGCAACAGTCAGAACTACATCATCTCTAGTATGGTAAAATCTTTATTGCTGTTTAAATCCCAAATTCTTAATATGGTTATTATTATCCAAACAGCTGATGGATGTGACATAACAAAAATTCTGTTTTAAACTCACGCCATTTTCAGACCCCCTATTTATGCAGCTTTGAAATCAATGGATGAACTGGGGCCCTGTCCAGGGTGTATCCTGCTTTGTGCCTATCATTTGCTGGGATAGGCTCCAGCTCCCCTGCAACCCTGAAATGGTTAGAAAATGGATGCATGGATATTCATGTGAAGTAGAGCATAATGGGAAAAGTATAATCTTTTTTTTCTCCTTAGACATGTGTACACAAAATCATCTATCATCAGCAAACAAAACATGATTTTTGTAAATAAAAATAAATCTGTAAGCCACTGCTAAGATTAGTAACTATCACAATGTGAGAATGGGTTTCATATCCCAGACTTGCAATAGAGGCAAAGTGTTATGTTGCTAAGCAACAATAAATCCTAGAACTGTATTAAAACAATGTCTCTAGGAAGAGTAAGAATGACATCTCATTTGTTTAAGAAATGGTACCACAGAGATGAATGGTGATAGTATAGACATAGATGTGCCATTAAAAGGCAGAGGATGAAGGGGTGAATGGTCTGATAGGTGCAATTTTTTGTCATAAAAAGTTCTTCTCTGTCGCATGGTCATATGAGAAATCTACAGTATTTTGTTTAACAGCTACTTTGCTTCCCCTGATGAGATAAACTTATAATTATAACACTGCAATTACAACCCAGGGTTTGAAGTATGGAGAAGAAAACTAAGTAATCCCATAATTATTTATGCTCAATAATAATCATAACATAAATAGAGTGACAAAGATCTTGTCAAATAATAATTTAATTAAAATTATGTTTTGGGATTATACAATGTTTGTGAGATTCATTCCTGATTGATTCCTGTACTGCTTGTATGAAGACTGAGTATAGAGTGTTCAGGATAAAAAAATAAATAAAGAGAAAAAGTACTTCTGTGTTCAAATGTTCAAATATAACCTCTAATGTGTGTGTTTGAATACATTCACATAATTCAAATCAAATAATAAAAAAGTAAAGGTAAATAATAACACATAACAAAAAATCTATGTATCTGGATTTTCCTAAGGTGAACTGCAATACAATGCCTTCATTTTGTCTTTTATATATAAAATTATATTTCCAAGTGACGTTTCTGGCATAAGGAGACATTTCTGTAAACAAATTTTGAGACTTTTCCAGAAGTGGTCCAAAAATAATGAAATGCACTGTTCAGGTAAAATGCACAGAAACAAATGTCTGGAGTATCAAAAATACAAAGAGCAGCAACCACTAACAGAGACATTATTTGAAAATAACTCCTGTAGAAAGACTAGTTTTACAAACAAAAGCAACTTAATAAGGCATTTAGTGTCAAGTTACTGTATACAATGTATATCACATTTTTTGCCTTTGCATTCTCAGAGAGGTTAAGAAAAACAGACTTTATATTGCCTGTCAATAATAAGAGGCAAACTGTGCTTCTGGTTGCTCTTTTGTAACACACCGTATAAGTACCATATAAGTATAAGCACCACCTCTACAAATACTCACGAAGGGAAGGAGCATATCTTTGTTTCATGATGACTTATAGACAAGTA